TCTGCCTCTTCAACTGTCTGAGTTATCTCAAGGGCTTTATCCTCTACCTCTGAGATTCTTTCTTCTGCATGGTCTAATCTGTTGTTGATTCTTCCTCTCTCCCCTGCCCTCTCCCCTTTCCCTTCCTCTCCTCACTTTGTTACCCTCAGTAGAGTGCTGTGGTGTCACATCTCACAGCAACCTCCAGCTCTTGAGCTTATGTGATTCTCTTGCCTCAGCCTCCCGAGTAGCTGGGACTACAGGCACCTGCCACAGTGCCTGGCTATTTTTTGTTGCAGTTTGGCTGGGGCCGGGTTCAAACCCGCCGCCCTCGATATGCCCTACTCACTGAGCCACAGGTGCCGTCCTGTTGCTGATACTTTCTATTGCATCTTTAAGTTCCCTACCTGACTGCTTCAGTTCCTTCAGCTCTGCTATATCCTTCCTGTAGTCTTCATGTCAGTCGTCTCCTATTTGATTCTGTTTTTGGATTTTCTTTTGGTTATTTCCCACTTTCTCAGCAATTTCCTTCATTGTTTCCATCATCTGTATTTTAAATTCCCCTTCTGTCATTGAATCCTCTGCAGTAGCTACCTCATGGTCCCTTGGGGGGTTGCTCTGGACTAGTTTTTCATGATGCCAGGATTTTTCTGCTAATTCTTCCTCAGGAGTGTTTTCTATTCTGTTTCCTTGCCCTAATTTTCCTTTCACTTCCTCTTGGTTTTTAAGTAACTGTGCCTCTGGCCTAAGGTTTTGATGAGTCCTTTTGGTACAGGACCAGAGGGATGAGAGGATTGAGGAGCAAGAAGGGAAAAAAGATTAAAAAAAGAAAGAAAAAAGAGAAAGATGGGGTGAGGAAAAGAGAATATTGACCAAAAGAAGAGAGGTACAGAAAGAGGGAGACAGGAGTAATAAGGTATAAAATAGGGTACTTTGACCCAACCTTAAAACCCCCCAACATCTGGGGGTGCTGGGTTGGGTGGTTCCCCTGAGGTTAGCAGCTCTTTGCCAGCCTGTTCAGACACAGTACCCCAACTCCACCATATAGAAAGGAAAGACAAAAATAGTATAAATCAAACGAAAAAAAACAGGGGCGGAAACACTAGCAAGAATGAAGTTCTTATTATTAAAGGAAACAATGGAAAATTATATTTAAACTAGAAAAATGAAGAAAGAGGCTCGGTGCCTGTGGATCAAGTGGCTAAGGCGCCAGCCACATACACCTAAGGTGGCAGGTTTGAATCCAGCCTGGGCCTGCCAAACAACAATGATGGCTCCAACCAAAAAAAAAAAAAAAAAAAAAAGCCAGGCATTGTGGTGGGTGCCTGTGGTCCCAGCTACTTGGGAGGCTGAGGCAGGAGACTCACTTGAGCCCAGGAGTTGGAGGTTGCTAGGAGCTGTGATGCCACAGTACTCTACCCAGGGGGACAGCTTGAGGCTCTGTCTCAAAAAAAATAAATAAATAAAAGAAAAATGAAGAAAGAAAAGAAAAAAATGAAAATTTGGAGGGAAAATGTTGAAATTAAAAAAAACAAAACAAAACCCAAAACAAAGCAGTATATATATCTTGCCGAATATTGTCTGGGCAACGAGTGATCTTCTGGGGTATGAGATGTTAATCACAGTGCTGATACAGCTGTATGAGATGGAGGCTGCAGGCCTCTCTTGATTTCTCAAACCCTGTGCGGTGGAGAGCCTAAGTCTCTCCTCGTCCCACTTAAAAGACACTTTAAACTGTTGACCTTGGCTAAGTAGAAGCTTTCCCAGGAAAGCATTTGTCGCTGGGATCTCTCCTGAAGTGGCTGCCTGCTTATCAAGTGCACCAAAACCCGTCTCACTCTATGCCCCTGCCGGCCAAGGCTGCAAGGCAGGCCTGCTACTGCCAAACACTGAAATCTGTTTCCCTAGTCTCAGTCCCGGCCTTTGGTGTTGCTCAGTCACTAGATCACTTGCCCAGGATCTCCCAGCCCGAGCCTTGCTCTGCAAACCTGAGGGCAGAGCCAGCAGGGGCAATACTCTCACAATGGCTGCGCGAGGCCCACAGCTGAACAATATTAGCTCCGTTCTGGCTCAGTGGTTCAGTCCAGGGCCCTGAACAATGCTCAAAGTCATCCACACTTTCACCCAAGTTCTCCCAAGGTAGTGCAACGGACTGCCCAAGTCTAAAAAAACAAAACAGCCCACAGGGAAGGCCTTCCCTGTTTGCAGTCTTGCTGCCATTTTAATTACAGCTGTGGCCGCCATGACCCAATGAACCACCTGCCAGTTCTCCACTGCTTTTGTCCTCCTCCTGAGGTCCAGAAGTGTCTTGCTGTCTCTCTCTGTCCCCAGAGGGATGTTTCTGGGAGAGCCCACAAGCCAGACATGCCTGGAGTCTTTTCTCCCCAATCCTCACAGCACCCAATTGCAAAGTAGCTGTTACTTGGCTGTCATCTTGCTCCCTCCTCAAGAAAACCACAGGTATCCTTATTGATAGTCCTTTATATGCTACTTGCTTTTTTGCTCTTGCTGCCTTAAGGACCCTCTCTTTGAAGTTTAATTATAATTTGTTCTCATGTAGTCTTGGTTTTGATTCAGTTTGATTTGAGACATTTTATCTTCCTGTACCTGGATATTGATATCTTTCCCCAGATTTGGAAAGTTTTCTGTTATTATTTCTTAAAACTTTCTACTCTTTTGTCTTTCTCCTTCCTGAACTTCCATGACTCAGACGTTTGCTTTTTTGATGCCATCCCAAAGTTCCCCTATGCTTTCTTTCTTTCCATTCCTTTTTTATTCCTCTGTGTATTTTCTTTTTCTTTCTTTTTTTTTTTTTTGCAGTTTTTGGCCAGGGTTGGGTTTGAACCTACCACCTCCAACATATGGGGCCAGCGCCCTACTCCTTTGAGTCGCAAGCGCTGCCCCCCTCTGTGTATTTTCAAATAACTTGTCTTTTAATTCATATCCTTTCTTGTGGTTGATCAATCTGCAGGTGATGTTCTTTACTGCAATTTCATTTAATTGACTTTATTTTTCCACTCCAGAACTTGTTTTATGATTTCAATCCTTGTTAAATTTCTCATTTTGGCTTAGGCATAGTGGCTTACTCCTATAATCCCACCACACTGGAAGGCCAAGGTAGGAGGAATGCTTGAGGACAGGAGTCCAAGACCTGCCAGGGCAACATATCTAGACCACCTCTACAAATATAAGAAAAATTAGTTGGGCATGGTGATATGTGCCTGCAGTTCTAACAATTTGGGAGGCTGGGATGGGATTGCTTGAGCTCAGAAGCTGAAGGCTTCAGTGACTGTAGCACTGAAGTCCAGCCTGGAATGGCAGAGTGAGACCCTGCTCTAAACATTTTTCATTTTACTCATTTATTATTTTCCTGAATTCATTCATTTTCTGTATTTGCTCAAAATTCATTGAACTTCCTTAAAATAATTGTTAGGCCACATGTGGTGGCTCATGCCTGTAATCCTAGCAGTCCAGGAGGCTACAGTGGGTAGATCTCCTGACCTCAGGAGTTGAAGACCATCCTGAGCAAGAGTGAGACCGTGTCTCTAAAAATAGCCAGGCATTATGGTGGGTACCTGTAATCTCAGCTACTCAGGAGGCTGAGGCAAGAGTATCTCTTGAGCCCAGGAGTTCGAGGTTGCTGTGAGCTATGATGCCATGAGGGCGACAAATGAGATTTTTATCTCAAAAAAATATATTTTTTGAATTCTTTGTCAGATCATAAACTCCTTAATTTTTCTCCTAAATTTCTATAGGGTCAATTACTAATGCTTTGTTTATTTTTTGAGAGAGAGTGTCACTTTCTCACTCTTTTTAAGAGTGCTATGGAGGCATAGGTCACAGCAACCCCAAACTCCTGGGCTCAAGGGATCTTCTTGTCTCAGCCTCCTGAGTAGCTGGGACCACAGGTGCTTGACCCAATGCCCAGCTTTTTTTTTTTTTTTTTTTTAAGAGATGGGGTCTGGCTCTCGCTTAGGCTGGTCTTAAACTCCTGAGCTCAAGCAATCCACCTGCTTTAGCCTCCTAGAGTACTAGGATTACAGGTGTGAGCCACTGCACCCAGCCTTGATGCTTTATTTTGTTCCTTTGATGGAGTCTTATCTTCCTGATTGTTCTTGATGTTTGTGGCTATGGGTTGGTGTCTAAACACTTGGAGAAGTAGGAACTTAATTCTAGGTACTGCAGGTGTTTAAAATGTCCATGTAATAACTCTCCAATTACTATTTCCTCTAAAATTGGGTTTTACAGAGTGATCCTACCTTGAAATATGTAGGGGACATAAGAGAAACTAGCTGGTACTCAATATTACTGGAGGGGAAATAGGGTCCTTCTCGGTAAGCTTCATTTCACTTGGACCAGTAAGGTTGAAGAAATTGAAATGGATTTGTTTACGGTGTTATTTGCCCTCTGGGCCAACTCTCTGTCCTTCTTGCCCTGTTTTACCCCAGGAAGAGAGTATCACCTGGGCATCTGGTGGGTTTCAGTTAATGGAGGCAAATAAATGCAAGAGACTGAGCAGCAAAGAGGTAGGGCTTCTCCCTTCTCCGCTTTGGATCTGTTTTTCACAGCAGCTGCTTCTCTCTAGGGCTTCAACATGGACTTAGAAGACTAAGATTTTGTGGGGTTTTCCCCCACTTTTTTCAAATTAATATGAGAGTATAATATTTAGGTTATGTTGTTCTTACTTCCAGGGCAAAGCTCTTCTAAGATTTTGGCCCTCACTGGGCTCCTCAGACAGTTTTCTACTTTTAATCCCCTTCACCCTTAAGGAGAGGATAGCTTTCTGGTGCTGCTGTTCTGTGGGTCATCCCTCGTTTGTTTCCTTGACATTTCCCTCATCTCTAAGTAGTTCTTTCATAGGAAAACTACGGGACTAACTCGGTTTTCTACTGGAATCCAAATGACTGTTTCAGAGGTTAAAAATGGAAGGAATTCTATTCTCCAGGCCCATAAAATCCAATGCAAATACACATGTAGACAAGTTTTTTTCATTTATTTCATTTCATTTTATAAAAATTGCTACACACACTCTCTCTCTGCACCACCCCCCCAATCTTGCTTTCATCATCTGACCTAGGGGAATGTGCTGCCCCACACATTTTCAGTGGATTACCATTGAGCCATAGTATGTTTTTACACCATATTTTTTCAACCATTCCCTTACTGATGGTCTTTTCCCCCCTTTTCTTTTTTTTGAGATCTTTACCAAAACACTGCAATATACATTGATAAACAATCTTAAGTTCTGGCACTTTATTGTTTTCTGAGGGATGGATTCCCAGGAGTCTCCTGGGTTGAAAAGTGTAGATATCAATGTTAAAACACCGAGTCACAATGTTTTCCAGGGAGGCTGTCACAATTTACATTTCTAACAGCAGCATATGAAATTAACTTACCCTGCTGCTTTTGCTGTCATTAAGATGGTAACTTACAAAAACAAACTTACTGGGCTATAAATGTTTAGTAAATTTGTTCAGAAAGTCACATTCGTATGGTCAGAACATACCAATGATCTTCAAAATAATAGAGGAATAAAAAGGTCAGTTTGGGTTGCCATTTATAATTCTAATGCATGATTGATGGGGAAAGACTAAACTTGTGAATCAAGCCTAAAAATCTTTGACATAAGCAAAAATAATTTTTTTACTTTAATCATCAAACAATATATGAAGGGACCACTGTAAAGTTTAACTTACGAAGTGAGCTTGGAAAAATAGTAGTATGCTCTTAGGTTCCAAAGAGAAATGTTTTAGGTTGACAATAGTGAAACTCCAGGAAGTAGAAGTGCCTCCACTAAACAGAATACTGCGAAAGTTCATTTTCAACGTGGGTTATACATATGGAAAACTTAAAGCAATGAAAAACAGCACCTGAAAAGTCTCTTAAATTATTTTTCCTCTAAAATTTTTGAACTATATTCATCCTATCATTTTTTTTGCAAGACAATTCATAAAATATTAAGAGAGAGAGGGTAACTAAAGCAGGTAGTTTCTGGGTTACACAATATTTTGGTAATAGACATGCATTTGTTTGTAAATACCCCACTGAAAAATTACAAGAACATGATGAAGGGGGAGACTGTCTTTACCTGGCACATCCTTACTCTGTGTTGCATACTGCAGTGTAGTACAGCCCACATCTGCTTTCACTCTCTAGATCTCTTGGTTATATCACACTTGAGTATTTATGTAAGTGATCCTTCTAGAAATCTTCAGCAAACCAGAAGGAAGTAAAACTTCAACACTATCTTCTGTTTAGTGAAGAGGCAGCTCGATAACAATGGTCGCACCAACATACATATGCCGGCAAGCAGGAGGAAAAGAGGTAAGTGACATGCTACTTTAAAATCTGTTACATATTTCATTTGGAATGCATACTGGGTTGTAGAGGTATTGAAAAACACATGTGATGTTTAGTATGGAAAAATGATATGTCCTAATTATCACAGAGGACAAGAATTTCAAATTCCCAGTGATTCTGTTAAATTCACATGTGCAGATTTAAAACACACAACTTGTGTTATGTGGCATGCTTGTACATAACCACTAAATTCCTAGGAAACTGTCCATTATGCTGCTGCTTAAAATACTTAATTCATCCAAGATTTTAAAAAACTTACTGTAATACAGCTGAGTATGTCTATTTACAATTGGATATATTCTCATATGTATTCTTTAGGTATCAATGTAACTTTCAATATAATGTTCTCAGGGGATCCTATTTTTTATACATTTGAGATTGTATCTCAGTATGAATTCCCATATCCCTTCAATACCTTCATAAGGTTTCTTCCTGGTTGGAAGCTTACAGTCTCAGAGTTTTTCCCCTATATGAACTCTCTGGTGGACACTGAGACGAGACTTCCTGCTGAAGGCCTTCCCACATTCAGAACACTCATACGGTTTCTCCCCTGTATGGATTCGCAAATGTAATCTAAGAGTTGACCTCTGGCTGAAAGTTTTGCCACATTCAGTACATTCATAGGGTTTCTCTCCTGTATGAGTTCTCATATGTATAATGAGTTGAGAGTTCTGGATGAAGGATTTTCCACATTCACTGCACTCATAGCGTTTCTCTCCTGTGTGAATTTTCTGATGTATAATGAGGTTTGATTTTTTGAAGAAGGTTTTTGCACATTCATTACACTCATAGGGTCGTTCTCCTGTATGAATTCTCTGGTGTGTAGTGAGTTCAAACTTCTGGGCAAATGTCTTTCCACATTCGCTGCATTCATAGGGCTTCTTCTCCATGTGTGCTCTCTGGTGTACAATGAGGTTTGACTGGTGGGTGAAAGCTTTTCCACATTCAGGACATTCAAAGGGTTTCTCCCCAGTGTGAATTCTCTGATGTTTGATGAGGTTTGCCTTATGGGAGAAGGTTTTCTTACATACATTACATTCATACGGTTTTTCTCCAGTATGTATTCTCTTATGACTAATAAGGAGTGACTTAAAGGAGAAGGCCTTGTCACAGTAATTACAAATAAAAGGCTGAACTAAATTTTTAATTTTCTGATGTTTAAAAATGGCTTCTTTATGGCTGAAGGCTTTTCCACTTTTATTATAGTCAGAGTATTCTAAGTCAGGATGGGTTTTTTCTTGCTTAAGATAAAGAAGTGCTTTTCCAAATCCATTATACTCATCAGCTTTCTTTCTTGCATAGTTTCTATTGCTATTATGTAAGTCTGAATCGTATTTCAAAGTTTTTTCATATAAATCATATTTATAGGGTATCTGTCTTAAAGAAACAAAGTCTGTATTCAGATTAAGTGCTTTTCCAAAGAGATTATCTCTTTCCTCAATTGGAGTTTGGTTCTTAAGGATTACAAATTGCCTCGCTTGCTCCTCTGGGTTTCCATGGTCCCGCTCCATCTGGTCATCAGCCTTCCACACTTCTAGGGTAGAAAATAATAGAATGTATCTCGTCAATGCTTTCACTATCATGTAATGGGAAATCTTCACAAATGTTCTATCACAGGGCTGATTCTAAAGTTTAGGACCCAGTCTACCAGTATTAAAAGATCCCCAGTGAGAATTTTTCCTCTTAAGATTTGAAAGAAAAAGACAAAAATGTAACAGTGTGTGGCAAAAAAGAAACTAAAATGGACACAAGTAGCAATGCCAGATGACAAAATGACCTTAAAATTGTGATAGTTGGTTCGGTGCCTGCCAAATACACCAAAGGTATCGGGTTCAAACTCGGCCCAGGCCAGCTAAAACAACTGCAACAACAACAACAACAAAATAGCTGGGCCTTGTGGAGTCCCAGCTACTTGGGAGGCTGAGGCAAGAGAATCACTTAAGCTTAGGAGTTGGAGGTTGCTGTGAGCTATGACGCCACAGCACTCTACTGAGGGTGACATAGATTCTGTCTCAAAAAAAAATAATTTGTGATAGTCAATATATACCTATAACAATACAAAGTCACATGGAGCACGTCTTGTAATTGCAAAAGTCAAATGTGACTGGAGTATTACAAACATAATAATGCCAAGCTGGACTTGGGGCAGGTAGCTACACTACCCTGACAATGATGAAATAAAATACAACTTTGGGTGTTGAGGCTGCCTTTGGCAGATCTTGGCCAAGGAGCAGTAATTGTAAACTAAAAATAAAATCTTAGGCCCCTCAACTGAGGGGACCCCTTCTTGGCCAGGAGGACCCCAGAAATAACCTAAAAATGAGTTCCTGGCCATCAGAAGGGAGGTGAGACATGACTTGTCATGCCCTCCTCCTTTCCTAGAGATATCATTTGTAGCTTGTTAACAGGCCTAAGGCTATACTAGATAAACCTTAAACCTTACCTGCAGGTGTATGTGTGGTAATTTGTCTTTGATTAATAGACATTTGATCAATAAGCATTTGATTACGGTCTATGTAATTGTAAATATTCTTATCTTAAAACATTCCAAGCTTTTACACAAAAATTCCCCACTTTGAGATGTTTTACCTTTTTGGTGCAAACCAATGTATGCCTTACATGTATTGATTTATGATACTTGCATGCAATCCCTGTCTCCTCAAGAGGCATAAAAGCAAACTGCTGAACTGTAATCCAACCATGGTGAGACCACTTGATCAAGGCTTCCTGAGTGTGGCTCTCTGGGCTGTGGTCACACATACTTGGCTCAGATAAACTTCTTTAAATTATTTTATAGATTTTTAGGTTCTTTTCCATTGATAATACCAATTCCCATGAGTTAAAATATAAAGGTCACCATTATAGGAAAGAGCAACTAATTTTGAGACAAAGGTTTAAGATGTTTTAGGTAAATATGAAGGCTCAAGTATGAGAAGCAAGTATCTATAGTTAAGTAGAGAAAGGGAGCAAGGAGGCTCGGCACCTGTTGCTCAGTGGTTAGGGTGCCAGCCACATACACTGCAGCTGGTGGGTTTAAACCTGGCCCGGGCCTACTAAACAATGACGTAAACAACAACAACAACCAAAAAAATAGCCAGGTGTTCTGGCAGGCGCCTGTAGTCCTAGCTACTCAGGAGGCTGGGGCAAGAGAATGGCTTAAGCCCAAGAGTTTGAGGTTGTTGTGAGCTGTGATGCCACAGTACTCTACTGAGGGTGACATAGTGAGACGGTCTCAAAAAAAAAAAGCTAAGCAGGGAGAGACTGCTATTTGGAGGAGTGATTAGAGATGTGGGCTTACAGTTCACCCATACCCAGCTATCTTTATTTTATTTATTTATTTATTTATTTAGAGATACATTCTCACTTTGTTGCCCTCAAAAGAGTGTTGTAGTGTTATAACTCACAGCAACCTCAAACTGTTGGGTTCAAGCGATCTTGCCTCAGCCTCTTGAGTTTATAGGCACCTGCCACAGTGTCTGGCTACTTTTAGAGATGGGGTCTTGCTCTTGCTCAGGCTAGCCTCCTCAAACACCTAAGCTCAAGTGATCCACCTGCCTCAGTCTCCCAGAGTGCTAGGATTACAGGCATGAGCCATGGCGCTTGGTCCTATACTTAGCCACCTTTAAAGGTTTAAGGATTTGAAAAAGATTCTTGAAAAATGTCGTAAAGGTCCCAAGCTGTTCATAACCCCTGGATTATTCCATTGCTTCTATCTGATTCTCCTTTCATATCTCCCTTAAAAATGTCTGAACTGGCAATTTTAATTCTAATTATACTACCCACAACTTTTTTTTTTTTTTTTTAAATTTAAGAGATGGAGTATCGCCCTTAGTAGAGTGCAATAGTATCATAGCTCACAGCAACCTCCAACAGTCCTCATAGCTGGGACTACAGGCACAACACCTGGCTATTTTTTGTTACAGATTGGTCAGGCCGGGTTTGGACTCCCCATCCTCAGTATATGGGGCCGGCACCCTACTCACCGAGCCACAGGTGCTGCCCCATCCACAACTTTTTGTTGTTCTAACTTGAAGATCACATTTGGTTTGATAATAACAGGATTTACTAATGGGACAGAAATGACTGAACTTCAGAAGCTGTCTTATTTCTTAGCTTTAATACTTGAAGATTGGGGGAAAAACCATTTTGTAATTCAGAAGCTCATAATTATTGGTAACTAAGAAAAGACATAAATACTCCTAGGCAAATAGTAGCTCCATTTGACAGTTGTCCTTACCCACTGAAAGTAAGTTGCTATAATTCTCCAGCATCACATCCATGTACAGGATCCTCTGAGAGGGGTCCAGTTGCTCCCATTCCTCTTGGGTAAAGTCCACGGTCACATCCATGAATGAAACTGATTCCTGAAATGAAATACTGTTATTCATTCTAAAGTGATCCTCATTTAGTGACACAGAAAGGATATATGAAAGCTTATTATTACCACGTAATTGTAAATGCTATTCACTGTGAAAATTTATATAACACCAACAGTATATCTTGTTCACTGTTTTCAAAAAAATACTTTCAGAAATAGTTAAAATATTTTTTTCCCTAGCATCTGGCAGTATTTTGGGGAAAAAAGCAACTAAAATGGGTTTAAAAAAATTTTTTTTTTTTTTTT